ATGTTAAGAGCACTTTTAGTTCATAGCAAAATGGATAGAAGTTACAGAGAATTCCCATGTGCCCCTCCCACATGCACAGCCTTGCCCTTGTCCACGTCCCTTCTACCCACACAGGTACATTTGTTACATAGATGAAGCTACATTGACATATAATTGTCATCCAGAGTTCCTAGTTCTCCTTGGGGTTCACTGAGGGGCTGTGCATTCAGTGGATGTGGACACATTTATGATATCGTGTCATACATGGTAGTGTCAAGCCCTGAATATTCTCTGTGTGCCTCCTGTCCATGTCTCCCTCCCCTCAACCCCGGCCAGCAGTGATCTTTTTGCTGTCTCCATCATTTTGCTTTTTCTGGAATGTCATAGCTGGAATCATACAGTGTGTGCCTTCTTTCACTTAATAGGCATCTAAGTTTCCTCCACCGCTTCTCATGATTTGATAGTTTCTTTCTCTATAGCACTGAATAATATTCCGTTGTCTGTATGCACCTCAGTTTACTCATCTATTCACCTCTTGACAGACATCTTGGTTGCTTCCTAGTTTTAGAAATTATGAATAAAGCTGCTGTGAACATGCGTGTGTGGAGTATTGGCTGGATACATGTTTTCAAGTCATTGGGTAACTACTGAGTTACACAATTGCTTGATCGTATGGTGGGAGGATGTGTAAGAGTCACCAAACTGTGAACGCAGCATTTTGCGTTCCCACCGGCAGTGAGTGCAAGCTCCTGGTGCTCCACATCCTCACCAGCACTTGACGTTGTCTGTGTTCTGGGTTCTGGCCCCTCCTACTAGGTGTGTGGTATTTTTTCATTTGCTGTGTGTTTCATTCTCATTGTTGTTTTCATGTTCATTTCCTTGCTGACATGATGTGGAGCATCTTCTTACATATCATTTTGTCTTCTGTATCTCTTGTGTAGTGTGGTGTCTGTTTAGGGCTTTGGCCCATGTTTTAATGAGGTTGGCAGTTTTTTCGTCAATCAGTTTGAAGACTTCTTTGTGTGTTTTGAATAGTAGACCTTTATAGGTATTTTTTCTTCTTTTTTTTTTTAAGATTTTATTGGGGATTTGTGGGAGGGGAACAGCGTTGGGGAATCCATAAGGAGAACAGACAAGTTGCTGTCCTTTTGTTCTTCAGTCTAGATGTGGAGGATGTCAATTCACTGGCCCACGTTAGTATTACCATTGTGTTCTTCCCAGGCTCTGAGCAGCACAGCCTCGAGGGCCAGTGACGCTGTGCCCTCTACAGCTAAGATGGTGAACAACAGCTCGACCTGGAGTTCAGCTGCCGTGAGTTGCTGGCCTCCGCGTAGGCTGCAGTGGGGCTGGCCGGCAGCGGGTGTGAACTTTCGTGAGCCGCCGTGGGTGGCTGTCCAATGGCTGACGAGTGACTGCCTCACCCGGGAAGAGTGCAATGATAATGTCAACATGGGCCAGTGAAGCAACGTCCTCCACAACTAGACTGAAGAACAATTTTATAAATGAAGCTATGGTAATTTTATTTTCATTTTCAATTTTCCTTCCAAGCCACGTGTATGTACCCAAAGAGCATCGTGTGGCTCTCAAGCCGCTGTTTGCCAACCACTGCTCTGGAGAATGTCCAGAAGTGGAATTGCTGGGTCATATAATAGTTGCATTTATAAATTTTTTGAGGAAGTTCCATATTGTTTTCGGCTACCCCACTTTTTACATAAATATGATTGCTATATCTTCTTGTTGAGTTTACTTTATTATCATTTTATAATGTCCTTCTTTGTGTTCTAACATGTTTTGACACTTATTGTGTATTTGTCTGATATCATTATGGGCTACTGTGCCCTTTATTGGTGACCGTTTCTATGGAATACATTTTCCATTGTTTGACTTTGACCCATGAGTGTCCTCACATCTCAAGTGAGTATCTTGTACAAAGAAGGTAGTTGGATTTTACTTTTTTTTAATCTGTTCAGCCAACTCATGTGTTTAGATTCAGGGAGTTTCATGTGTTTTCATTTAAAGTGATCACTGAGTCGGAGCGAATACTATAACTATTTTTGAATTGTTTTCTGCCCTTTGTGTAGCTATTTTGTTCCACGTTCCCACCTCTGAACTGTGTTCTGTTGTTTCTTTGATTTCTGTTGGTAGTTGCATGCTTTGATTTTTTTCTTAATTTCTTGTAGTGTGTTTTTTATAGGTAGTTTATTGTGGTTACCATACAAGTAACTTAAAACTTTTTTTTTAAATGGGGAATTGGGGGTGGGGAACAATGTTGGGGAATTGGGAAAGGGGTCAAGCCATGTTGTTGTTCTTTAGTCTTCGTTGTGGCGGGCACCAGTCGCCATTGGGCTCCCATCGGCAGCTCGTGGCCTCTAAGATCAAGGTGCGGAGTGCATTCTTAGTTGCGGGTGTGCATAGCCACCATCCCATGTGGGAGTCAAACCTGGCAGTCTTGTTAAGAGCGCACGCTCTATCCACTGAGCCATCCGGGTGGCAACTCAGCTCAAGGTGACGAGTTCCATCTTAGTTGCGGGTGGACGTAGCCTAACATTGAACAGGCAGTCTTATTGTTGGGAGCATGTGCTCTTACCAGCTAAGCCATCCTGCCACTTGTTGTTGTCAGCTCAGCAGCAGCTCAGTGTCACTGGCCCATATGGAAATCGAACCGGCGACCCTGTTGCCCAGAGCTCACACTCTTGAGCAGGCTCTTAACTGACTGAGCTACTCGGTCAGCCCAAAATATTTTTAAAGTTATAACAATGTGTTTTGTGTTCTTGGTTAGGTAATTAATAGCTCTATTAGTTTTGGGCTTATTTCTCAAGAATTAGTTTTTCCTCTGATTAGACCATGTTTTTCTATTCTTTTGTATGTCTTGTGATGTTTTGTTGAGACTTGGGAGAAGAAGCAGCCTCCATCCCAGGCTGTGTGGACCCGCTTTGTACTAGAGAACACACATAGCAGGCAGCTGAGCTTGAAGTTCTTATGCCTATCAAACCGGTCCTACAACTGTGTACTCTCTGTGTTTTTTGCATGCAATTTTCTGGTTTGAAATGTTTTTGTTTTCTCTTTAGGGGCAGTGTTATAGTCCTATCCGTGATGATTGTCTTCAGTACTGTGCTCTTTGTGGTGTTTGAACAATTGCTTACTATTTTTCTTAGTGGCCACCACGAAGCCTTCACATTGCACTGACATTTCCTTAGCATGTGGTGTCATGCAGAAAATAAACGAGACCTTCAGGCAGCTGCAAAAAACGAGTCCATTGGACACGAAGTTCACTCACCTTTTTCCCTCCAGAGAAGAAACTGTCAATTGGAGTTTTCTCACAACATTGCCATGTGTACCAGGGAGGGTACACAGTAATGTTGGCAAATATAAACAACTTTTCTTCCCTCTTTGATGTGATTCTTTCATGTGGTTTGCTTGTCTGAACATGGTTTCTGAGTTCTCAAAGCTAATTGGGTCAGTAATTGTTGTTCAGTATATGCCTCCTTGGAGGATGGCAGTTTTGGTGTTTCCTATTACGCCGTCTTGTTCAGTCCTGTAACCAGTTTTAAACTTGTATTTTAGAATTGAAAGTATATTCACTTGCACGTAGTAAGAGTGACAATTTATTGGATATCTTTCAGCTCTGTCTTCTGAGGACACCTTGGAGTTGTTGCCAATCCCAGGAATAGAAGATTCATTCCACAAAATGCTACTGGTAAGATATGGAAGGTGCGGCCTTGACACTCTGCACTTAATGAAAGAGTGGGAACATGAGCGGAGTGTGAAAGGCTGAAGGATGTTATCATGGACATAACCAAACTGGGACAGTTACTCATAGTAAAATCCCCATTGCTAAAGAGATCAAATATATAAGAAATGTGAAACCCTGCATGTTAAGGCAGTTTCATTAGCAGAACACTTATTTCTGAATATAAAGATCAAAAACAATGTATTAAAGATATAAATTTTTTTAAAGAAAATGCGGACTATATGGGAAGTTATGGAATTCATAGTGTAATAATCACTTGAATTATTTAAAACGTAGGAGTAGATTAAACTCAAGCATTTAAATCAGAGATTTGAAAATGAAGATCAACATACTAAGTGTGATCAATTTTGCAATCGCTTAGCCAGGCTTTCATTATTCTTTCACCAAGAAAGAATCTCTCTTTGTTCCAAATTCTGTCATTTTCATAAATGTGGAAGGGCATTTTTAGAAGCATCATGTTTCCATAGGTATCATGGGTAATGGAGAAAAACTTTACCTGTTTAATGACATAAGAGTGCTCACTGAAGGCCTTTCTGTATTTGTTGATTTCCAGAGTACGTGTAATGATGAGAGAAGTGATCAATTCAGTAAATCTGGGAAAAACTTTAAACAAGGGTCGGATGTTAATAAGCATCAGAGATATCAGTTTCCAGAGAACCAGCATACCCATGGCAAAGACTCATGAAAGCTCAAATCTTACACATCAGAATAGTTATATTGGAGAGAAGTCAAACAAATGCAGTAAATTTGACAAGTCTTTGAACAAATCTTTGTATCTTACTGAACATGAGAATATTCATCCTGGGAAGGAACCTTATATATGTGTTCCGTGTGGGAGAGTCTTTAGTCGATTATCCAGTCTCAACGATCATAGGAAAATCCACACTGGAGTGAAGGTTTACAAATTTAGAGAATGTGGTAAAGCCTTCACTAGGCATTCACATCTTACTACACATGAGTTAATCCATAGTGGAGAGAAGCCTTGCAAATGTAAGGAATGTGGCAAAGCCTTTCAATGGCATTCACAAATTAGCGAGCATCAGGTAATTCATATTGGAGAAAAGCCTGACATCTGTGGAGAATGTGGTGAAGCCTTTAAGGGGCACTCACATCTTACTAGACATGAGTTAATGCATACTGCAGAGAAGCGTTACAAATGTAGAGAATGTGGTAAAGCCTTTATTGAGAGCTCAAGACTTGCTGTACATATGAGAATTCA